GCGTCTCGGAATTCACAACCCTGCAGCCTTTCGAGTACTACGATGCAAGGTCGATCAAGATTCGACGTTTATCGTTGTTAACCTCGTTTCTGACGCGACAAAGGATCTTAATTACTCCTGATTACACAAGCGTAAGCGTTCTTAGATTAATCAGTGGTTACAACTCGACTTATCGCGTGCATATCCTCTCTTTTTTCTTGCTGTTTATGCTACGTATCATGGTACGGATATGGCTATACGTATTCTAATATGTTGCTGGTTAGAATTCGCATTACATAGCACCCTAAACTCTAAGTTATCGTTCCTCGTCTCTCCGCTAAGTATTACACTTTCGTGAACTCCTATTGAAAATTTATAATGTGATCATCGACGATAATACGAGTTTCAGTTTCCATCGCTGATTAATAGCGATTGACGACGAAAATCCTTACGCTTCCTCTCCTATACTTACATTAAAACTAAGTTTTCGTTGATACGATTTTGCTACGAGTCTCGCGAACGGAAGAACGAAATCAGAAATATCGTCTCGGATGGAAGGATCTCGGTTGCACGCCTCGATGAATTTCCACGCCGTACCGCGCTGGTTGATTAAGTTGTCTCGATGTGGGTCGATCTCATTTGCAGATCTTTCAGTGTGTTCTGGCTCAGACTCGTTGCGTGTCCGATCCCATGAATAATGAATACGTGCCTGCCATGGCCCGGCACACGTCCGCGACAGAACGAGCAGAAAATCCATGAAAGGAACCGACTCCTCGATTCCTCCTCCTTCCACCGGATTAGAATATCGTTCGGGATCTACTTACAATTAGGAACGGCGATGCGAGTAAGAACGCGACCGCTCGTTCAGCTGGTTAAACTCGAAATCGAGCGAAGACAGCGATAATAGCCCTCAAGGAGGAACAGCGACGCGCGACGAGCTCTCCACTCGGGGTGGCCAGAAGTTAACGACCAGGCGGCTGCCTATCCTAGCCAACGGTGAAACGTTTATAGGATAGCGATCGTTAGCCTTAACACTTTTAAGCTACACCTTCACGGTCGCGGCACAAGAATTGGACGTCTGCCCGTGTCCACCGATAGCGTCCCGAATTGTTCCTCCTAAATCTAACTGTGTACCGAGGATTCGGGAAGAACGTAAATAGATACTCGCTACCTGTCATACGCCAATATATTTATCTTCGGCGAATGCGCTTCCGCCAGAAAATTGTATCCGGGATATCACGAAGCATCGCGTCGCATCGATCGCAAACTTCTTTATAAGTTGGATACTCGAGTATTTGGCCTCTTGCTCTCCGTCGCTTCGAAATCTGTTCGCTGGTCGTACCAGCCACCGCCTGTTTACTACAGAACGCGATACGATACCACGTTGGAAGAAGTTTTGCATAATCGCGTTCTCGGTTACACCTTATGGATTAAGAGATGGAAAGAGCAGTCGCATCGGTTACGCAATTAAACGGGAAGTCACAGACTGAAATGGAAGCTGTGACTGACGAGAGTATAATGTATGTGTGTATATTTGCGTCCACCGGCAGCACACGTTTCGTTTCAGTTGTGCGATTTTCATTTAAGTTTTTACAGATTTGATCCCAAATATCCGGATAAATTCGTTTAAGAATCATTCTTCTCTTATTCGATTCCCCCAAACGATCGGCAATGCTACCTGACGGATGACCGTGCCGCACGTTCGACGTACCTCGAAGGAAATCTTTTGTTGGCGGTCGGGTCTAGCAAATTCCTCGATGAATGTCCCGAGGAATTTCATTTACTTGGAGACTCGAATGTCCAGGAATTCAGGTACGGGAACATGAATAATAAACGAAAAGCGTAGGATTCTGTTTTTCGTTTCTAAATGAGAGGTTCGATCGATTTCGTTGTTCGCATCGACATTCATTGGCTCATACCAGTCCCACGCTATTCGCGGTGTTCACCACACGGTACACAGTCTAACCCTAACCGGAAAACTGGATAATGAAACGTCGCCGCGTTCTCTATGGAAAACGGAGCAGATGTGTGAAGGATGGCAGACGTTAAATATGAACACAGCAGAGAATGGGAGAGAGTTTCCCAGAAGGAAAGCAGGCAGCAGAGCTCCCTTGATGAAAGCCATTTGTGGAGCCACGCGAGATACCCGCCGTTGCCACTCTCGAAAGTGTTCGTCGTCGTGGCCGGCACAAAAAACCAAGGGGAGACTGGGTGCCAAAACGAAGCGACGACGACGTCGCTGCTCGAGTGGCCCAGACCTCGGCCACTTAAGATTCTTACAAAACGCGCGAGGACGAGGCGCGAAACTTAGCGATGCGACGCATCTCGGTCTTTCCTTTCTAAGACGACGTCGTCCCGTCTTTTAATATAATAACGACCAACAAGCAGCGAAAAGAAACTCGAACCGAGGGACGAATATCGACCTGACGCCAGTCACAATGGATCACCATGGGCGGTCCGAGAATAAGTTACGAGCATGGGAACCGTTGAATGGAATCTAACACCTACGGTGCCGTAATACAGTTTTAACTGGTCGCTGCGAATCTGCATGAAATATCGAATATCGCGGTGAACTGTAGGGAACGTATTAAGAGGTAACGCGAACATATCTCGAAGTCTTAATCTTCGTCCGCGACGAATCGACGCCTGAACGGTGCAGTAGCTGAAGAAGACGAGTCGAGTCGACTTGGCCAAAGATCAAGATCATACCTGACCGTTTATAAATAGATCCGTTGCATTGGCTCGATAACGTGCCGGGAGCTAGTCAGGTTTATCGATACCGATCGTGCAATATCGCACTGCTGAAAATATCTAGCCGCCTCGATCGGAAAATGTGGAAAACACGTTTCGCTTTGTGCAAAATCGCGAACGAATCTCCGATACGTCCGAGTAAATCTAGCGTACCTGATCCACGAACAGGTAATCGGTTAATGGAACGACGTTCGACGTTCAGTAACTGAAATGAATCGCCATTCCCTGATCCTACGACCGCTAGCTCATAAAAACCCTCGTAAAATCCATTCGAGATTAATCGCGTATAGTTCGCAAACACGCATTCGCGCGCACGCTATTAAATTTTACGCGTGATATTTAATAGCTGCAGGTCGTCTGTCGGCTATCATAATATCTACACGACAAGTAGCTGTCGTTCTGTCCGAAATGAGGGAACAAAATGGCCCGTGCTTCAACGTTAAAAGTTGCGCCTCCGGTGAACCTATTTATCGATTAACGGTGTACGTAAAGAGTACGATATCTGGATCATTAACAATCGTAACGCACATATTGCTTATCTTCGGCAAATAACCGTTTAACCTTATCGGTCCTCCAGATGCATTACGCCGCCGAGTGCCGGTGTATTAATAGCCGAGTTCGCGTAAATCCAATTTAGAAACGATAAAACGCTGGTCTCGTTGTACATCCTACGACGCATCCGAGCGTATCATGGTTACCTCTTCAAAATTATGTACGTACAACATAAACTGAACGAACTCATGCTGCGTCGACAAAGGACAAAATGCAACGTCGGGAACACGCGTTTCCTTGCAAAATTAATGCAACTACGTGCAAGGAAGTGCAAGCAAAATAATTTTCGCGATCTAATTTTATGTAAATCAAGAAACTATAGCAGACCGACCAAGTGCCTTCTTCGAATCGCGCCCACGTTTGCTATTACCTCGGCGTCATAATAAACAATTTTCAGGTATTTGCAGAATAACGCAAAAAGAATGCGATCGATAAAATACTATGAATCGACCTTGGAACAGCTGTACGCGATGATTATGCATCGTTGATCCTCTCGTATTCTGGATTCTAATTTTATTCCAATCGATACGCGTGATCTTATTTTCAAATAGCTCGTTATTGCGAACTAATGGTATCAATCGAGTACCTAAGTACTACTACCTATAGATCGATAAAGAACGTCATCGTCGCCCCGCTCAGCGTTCACGCGAATCGGAGTTTAGCAATGAATTCGTGCTACAGAACTTTGTTAATAATAAAACCGTTTCCGTGGAGTCAGTTTTCCCTCCGTTTACGAGTTTCGTGGAAGTAGTTACCAGTACTAGATAATCTCTCAGTCGAAACAAGGCGTTCGCCGAATTTCAAATTCGGCCTACGATACATATACATATGTATGTCCGTCTATCGAGTTGCTGCCTACTCAAATCGTATAATAATTGTTAAAGAGTTCTGGTGTCATTAAAATCATTGCGAAATTCATATTTACCAATGAGTCACGTAATGGAGAATGCTGTCCCGTACCGGGAACTAATTTAGCGTAAAACGTGTGTCAGAGGTGAAACAATTACACCGGCCCGTAGCGTAGGTCGGATTACCGCACCGTTCGCGAACTGCGATACCGCGTTGAAACGAACACGCAAAAGGGTGAAATAAAGATAAAGCACAGGGAATGATCTATGATATACGTGCGATGAATCTCCCTTCGGATTTGCGAATGGACATGTGTACGTCTAAAAGCACTTAGTGCATACTGTCATCGCATACAATGAGTCGTTAATCGTTTCATCGAGCGCAGGTGTCTACCTACAATCTTTAATGCAGTTAACCTTTAGTTTGACGTTCATCGCAATTTTCCAGATACGCGGCGCGAGATTCTCGCGAGATGCAATGATTAACGAGGGAACGGTGACGAGGATTACAACCGGGACTGAAATATCCCGTCTTTGTATTTACCGTTTCTTTAGAATTTTTCGAAGCAACCAACACGACGGATCGAGCCGAACGGTGGTCCAACCATACGGTCGATCCTGTCTGCAAAAAGACCGCAGTCACAAATTCGATGGCCGGAAACTCAACTCTGCCGCCGGAGCATGATAAAGCGCGCCACGATTTCGAAATCAAAGGAATCTTTGAAGGCCGAAATGGAGCATGGAATTGAGATGCGCGAAACTCTGATTCACGTGAATTTTTATACTGGACAGCGTTACCTCGGTTAACATAACTTGTCGACGATCGTGGCGAACAGAATGGGGAGAGAGCTAGGTAATTTTAGTACTCACAGCGATCTCTCTACGGATTCGAATCGTGATCCCGGTTCCTCTTTTGCTCCGAAGCAGCAGCGTCCCTCTGTTTCCAGGGCGACGTGCACTGGACGTCGCGTGGTTCACCACGGATCGTGAGTTCCGATCCGGTTTCGAGATGTATCAGCGGCCAAACGAGAAAGAAAGAGAAGGAAAGAAAAGAAGGAGGGAAGCGAAGCCAAAAGAGAAGGAGGATAAGACAAGAGAGGACTATGGAGGATAGGAGAGGAGAGGAGAGGATAAAAAAGGAGAGGAAAGGAGAGGAGAGGAAGCGAAATGAGACAAGATGAGAGACGAGAAAAGAGAGAGAGAAAGGAGCGCACGTGGTGGGAAGAAGGCAAGAACGCGGCCGAAAAAACGGCAAGCTACGACACGACCTCGGCGACGGTCGCAACGAGACTGAACACTTCCTTCCAGCTAAACCTAGGCCGCCGCCGCCGCTGCTCCAGCCGCCAGCCTGGAAACGGCTGAAGCTGAAGCGGCAGCAGCCAGCGCCAGTGTACGCTCCGACTATACGCGTCTCGGAGTCTCCGCAAACCCGCGTCAAGTACCAAGCGCATCTCGTTTCTGTATCCCCGTGTATGCATGCCGACTGCTTAAAAGCAAACGAACTTCGGCTCCTCCACCTATAACTGTTCCCCTTCACCGCGGCCTTGTACCATTCTCAGTAATAAGATTCGGAGACATTTTACGAGTGAAAAGATACGCGACTCTTTCAGAAATGTATTGGGGTAGTTCCACCAGTTTCGCCGTCCTTCCGCCGTTGAAAGTTTTATGAAGTCTCGTAAAGCGGAATGCAATACTCCTTCCGTTAGGAAGTTTTCTACGCAACGAATTAGGACAGTTTGTTGAAATATTAGAGTATCTTCGAAATGTTGGTATCGCTATTTGAAAAAGCGAATTTATGTGTACGTCTCTTTACTCCTTTACTGACAGGCTGCTTTCACATTTAAACATTTACATTTCATATATCGCCCCGGGTCATTCACACGAGTCTTGCGAGACTACTAGGCTACTATATGTATAGGCGCGGGCGGCGCTGCGCGTGTATACAGCTAAGAATAAGGTGGATCACGAGATGTTCCTTGATCGTCAAGGAAACGATCAATGATAGAAGGGGCGAGCATGAGAGAGCTGCTGCCCTTCGTCCGCGTCACGATCACGATCAGTCGCCGATGGGGCAAGAAGGCGCGACGGGTCGGTACCAGCGACGGGATTCGAGCTTCGACTCTTCCAGGGAAAATTTTACTTTTACCTCGCTAACCACGGGAACGCGAGAACGTCGAGCGATAGTACGTTTAAAGATACTATCCGAGATAAGAAAAAAGTTAGATAGGGGAATGTATGTCGAGTAGTCTGCGACACTTTCGAATCCGTAGCTGTGAGCTTGGACTCGAGGAGACGTCGTACGCTTCATGCATAATGCAGACACAAAGTAGAGATGAACGGCTGCTGGATAACGGACGCGTTGAAATTCGCAATGGAAATTTTACGCGAAAACTTCCGATCGCATCGGCTCTTCGCGCTTGCAACGAATTTCTACTCCCCATCGATAATATATCGAAGAGAAATTCGTGATACGAACACCAATACTCGCATCTCTTCGGTATTTTGATCTCGGCATAATTCAGGAGTCCTCGTTTCCTTCCCTTATAGTTTCCCGTGCTGCACATTTCCAACCATGCGTTTGTTTCCCAAAATACTCCGATTCTTATTCTTTTTTCGAAAGCTAATACGATACCGTGGACGCTATTTGCTTACAAGATACGTGCTCGAAAATAATACGCTGCCCTCCAGCAGAATACACGTTAGACGAGTACTTACTTTGTACATAGCCCGTGTCGTTTACTAATAAATGGATAGAGTTACGAACGGGGGCTACCAGCGCGGTAGCGCAGCGCATAGAGAGCAAGAGTTACTTTATTCTGAATTAGGTCACCTGTTCCTTCGGTCTCCGCGGACACAGGAAATCGTTCAAGTTCATTGAAGTTACGCGATCGCGTCTATACTTCCTCTGGCTCCCTTTCCATTACGTAGCAGGTAGCACGTGCTAGCACGCATTCATATACTTAGAATATTGACGACGCGAAACGATAATCGGTTGTCTGAAAGCATGACCGTCTCTTGTCTACTTAATCCTTAATTTCTCTGAAAGTAGCTGACTCATTAGCAAACTGTCTTCTCGACGATTAGGTCATCTTCACCCTTGAGGCGCGACGTTTTCATTCACAGTGACAAAGCCACGGCATATCCCGGATGCGTTTGGTTATCGTTAAGAATCAGTGAATCTTAGGAGCTTCTTGCTCTCACCCATTGCCAATCTGCCCATTTCCCTCTCTCTCTCTCTCTTTCCTGTCTCAAAGACAGGACGACCACGTGCGCCCTGTCAGAGCCCACGCGACACCCATTACGAGCAATCGGCCCTTCAAATGCGCTTTAAACGACGCGGCCGATTCTCCAATCTTGCCTTGGAATGCGCCCTCGGCAAGTGGTCGCGTACGTTTGCCGGAATTATATCTATTTATTATGTATTCCACTGTCGGTTGAGCAGTTGAACGGCGACCGGACAAGGAGAATTAGCGTATGTCCTAATTACGTGTCGTCTAGGGACAAAATCGTTGTCGTTCAAATCACCGATGAACGCGACGAAGTACAAATGAATCGCATCGTGTGATGTAGTACGAACTTAAATTCGTGCGATAGTAAAAATTTATATCATTAAAATATTTTGATCCAATTTTTAATAAAGTCTAATCTCGTGATTCTTCGCTTGTTATCATTTCGCGACCGCAAATTGCTTATTATGCAAACTACCTTAGATCATCCGAATGACGCTACGCGATGATCATCGATCGGTTCATCCCTTTCTTTTGTTAGATCAATCGAATGATCCTGCGTAACGATGTAACTCGTGAGGATGACTATGATCGTTCATCGAGTTGTAATTCAAATTCATGTAAGAAATAATTATTGAAACGAAAACGAAACAGTGTCGTTTTTACAAAATTGTTTTACTCGTCTTACACGTTGTATATAATACATTCTCGAACAGTATAAAATTACTTTGATGTTACAATATTAAACAATCAGGAAATAGTTCAGTACTCGTAGCTCGCGCGTACGATCTATCGCACAATGCGAATATTTTATCTATATTATATCTATAATGTGTTTGAAACGTTCGCATCGTTTAATCGGAAGAGACCGCGGAAACACGGTTTCGCTCCTCATAAGGAAAAAAATTTGCTAATTACGAGTGCATATCGATTAATGTCATCGTTACAGAGGTACGTACATCGTTTACAGAAATTCTATAATATACATATCATGGTCATGTACAATCGGAAGAAAATTGAATAGGTGAAAGACTTAAATAAATATCCAGTTTAACATTATTTATAGTCAGAGTCCGTATAGTTATAGTAACTCGGTAATTCACATAAGGACAGGACCATCGATAATTTCCCACCAGCACCATTGATCGATTACAAACTACTACGAGAAATCAATTTGCAATTTTCATTCTGTCGCAACATAATAAGCTTCCGTCAATAGTAAGCAAGTAATTGTTGTAATATCGATCATAAATGGAAACCATCAGATATTAATTTTCAAGGATTTTTCTTAATCCTTTTGTTTCATTTTAAACTAACGTAAAATTATGTAAATTCGGATTCGTTCTAAATAAAAATTCAATTTGGACGGGGAATTTTTTGGCACACAGTGGTCCATAGCGTAATGGCACTTTACAAAACCACAATTAGTCATAGCAGTATCTCGTACTCTCCTAAAGTTGTTCTACTATATCGTGATTGTTCTTGTAAGAAGACTGCTTGAGACTACTTTTTTGCGAGTGTTTCGTCCTTTGTAATTCCCTGGCAAAATACATGATCGTCTGCTTAAGTCCTTCGGCTAAAGGAACTTTTGGTTCCCAATTTAAATATTTCTTAGCTCTAGAGATATCGGGCCTCCGCCGTTGGGGGTCGTCCTCTACCGCAGCAAGCTCGACTACCTTACTCTTTGTACCAACTAAATCTTTTATTATAACAGCGAATTCTGCAATCATTAAAACGCGCTGTATAAGTTTTTGGCATGCGGAATCGATCGATTAGTCCAAGAACGTTTAGTAACATAGTCACTGTTCACCTTCTATCGTGTGCTCGACAGGATTGCCGATGTTTATCGGTTGAGTGTAATTAGATGCCATTAGAGCGACTAATCCATCGACCAAGTCCGATACATATTGAAACGACCTCGTTTGTTTCCCACTACCGTAAATGGTGATCGAATCATTCTGTAGAGCTTGTAGAATGAAATTTGAAACTACACGACCGTCGTTCATATGCATTCTTGGGCCGAACGTATTAAAAATACGAGCGACGCGAACGGAAATGCCTTCCTGTCTCATATACGCATAGCTCAACGTTTCAGCTACGCGTTTTCCCTCATCATAACAAGCTCTTGGACCTACGAGAAGAATTACATTATAACTGTTTTTGTACTTATGGATTACGGCCGCTACGAACACTACAATTTGCAGCGATCAAGCGCGATTCCCCAATTAAATAAGCCCGGGCAAAAAACAAACAAGTATTTATTATTTATTTAATATACCTATAGGATTCACATGGCCCCAATAAGTTTCCGATTGAGGGTGTTCATTAGGATCTCCATAAACTTCGGATGTGCTCGCTATTAAAACTCTTGCTCCTACTCTTTTGGCAAGACCTGATGAGATAATTAAACAAGTTAAATAGTTTGATCAGATTTGTTTCAGATACTTGTACATATATAGATCGTTTACATACCTAAGATATTTATTGTACCTAAAGTATTTGTTTTAATCGTCTTGACTGGATTAAGCATGTAATGAGGTGGACTAGCAGGACTAGCCAAGTGATATATTTCATCCACTTCTAGATAGAGAGGTCTGACAATGTCATGGTGTACAAGCTCAAAATTTTCGTGTCCGACCCAGTGTTCGACGTTACGTTTCCTTCCAGTAAAAAAATTGTCTACTACAATCACTTCGTGACCGCCGAGCATTAAACGGTCGACCAAATGCGATCCGACGAAGCCTGCACCACCTGTGACTAATATCCTTTTCCGGTTCTTGTAATTAAGAAATTTGACCGTCGGGAAATCTTTAGATCCTCTGTTTTCTATCTTAGACTCTAGATGCTGTAGTTTATCCTCTAATTCGCGAATTCGCATGTTAGCTTCTTCGATATCTTTGATGTCATTATAGCGCGCATCTTCGTCCACCTCTTGAATCTTGTCATCATTAGCCAGTATTTCATTAGTTTCTCCTAAATTAGATTTACGTTCTCGCACATGAACACGACTGAAGGATTGTTCGTCCTCTGGATTAACTAACGTCTTGTAAAATCCTAATACTGTAACACATAAAACATATGGGATATCAAATGTTCAATCATTAAGAACAAACAGTAAATTAACAAAAGTTATATGATATTTACCTAGTATTATACAGATGATGGAAAGGGCAACCTGTTTCATCTTTCGTGACGTGAAGACCATGCTTTAATGTTGTGCGTCTCATTAAGGATTAGACATGTTAATTTTGTCGTTGACTTGTCATAGATTGAAACCATTGATATCGTAATATTGTACGGCGAAAAAGAGAGAACATCGAACTACTTTTAAATATTATTACTGTTATCGCGATAAACTGTCCTGTAACACGAATGCAATGATAAAGTCTTACATCACGAACTTACCCATTATCACGACCAGTCCAGCGATTCCTTTTAGATAAATAAATAAGTACTTGCCAAGTATTTACAATTTCATTTATTTAATATAGTGACATGACGCCGGGACTTCGAGCAACCGAAGTAATGTGCATCCTAGCAATAAGCGAATCACGGATTTTGTTTCTCGTTCCTCGGTACTCGTCTCTTCTCTACTGTTAGTGTTGAGGCCGACCTAACCGACCTGACATATCGAGAGATGATAACATAACCTCAAAATTTTCTATGCACATTCACGCAGGCGCAAATACTGTTTTTTGATTGATATATAAGGCTGTGGTCAGTACAAAGGAAACACATCTCATCTCAAGTGGTTTTTCTGAAGTTGCGGTGGCAGTGGCATTTGAAATATGGCAGAGGTCATTGATTGCAATTTTCCTGTTTGGGGCCTTCTGCCGAAAAAAGAAACTGGTGTCACTCAATTCCTTACCAAATACCCCGAATACGATGGTCGAGGAGTCGTCATCGCAATTTTCGATTCAGGAATTGATCCTGGGGCTCCTGGCATGCAGGTAAGTGCCTACTTAAGCGTTTTCGTACATACGCCTAGCGATTCTTTAAACCGCTACTTTCCTCTTCCCTTCCATTCTTTTCCCCTCCCCTAATGTCAAACAAATTTCTTTTTCTTTCTCTGTCCTTTTGACAATTTCCGTCTTGTACGTTACATCTATGTAAATAATGAAGTTCACTTTACTCATAACATTCTTTCTGTTTTTAATGTATTGTGTACGGCGAAAAACTTCACATCACATCGAACGATACAGTAGGCGATTTAAATTTGTAGCCATTGTTTCTATTTCTGATTACCTGTTCAATCTTTCTTTCCATTAAGTACCTGTAGAGTCTAATCATTCATTATGGATACATTGGAAATATTTGAATCGTTTCCAATTTCACTGGCACACTTCATATCAAATGAAATAGGCCAATTTCTTCGTTAATTTAGAGTTCAATGAACCCGTTTGATTTAGGAAACTTCGGATGGAAGGCCAAAAATTATTGAGAGGTACGACTGCAGTGGAGCTGGAGACGTCGACGTTAGCAAAGTTGTACAGGCACCCGATGGATATATTATTGGTATAACTGGTCGTAAATTAAAGGTATAACTTGGACAGTACAATCAATGAGGTTTATCAAGACACAATGTGGTAAACAAAAGAAAATTGTTCCTCTTTTTGAATTTTAGATCCCATCAAAATGGGTAAATCCTTCTGGAGAATATCACATTGGAATAAAAAATTTGTATTCTCTGTATCCGGGAAAATTAAGAGAAAGAGTGCTGTTAGAAAGAAAGAAACGTTTATGGGACAATACACAAAAGTGTGCTCTTGCAGAAGCAACCAGACAATTACAAGTAAACAGATCTGTCTCTATTGTGCATGTTTGAAATAAAACGCGAGTTGTTGCTTAACAAAATTTTTTGAATATATAATCAGAACATTTGTTTCCCGTAAAGTAACAGCGACCCACTTTTTGGTATGGCAATATTTGAGAATAAATTCGTAAATAGGCTTCTAGATCGTGCGATCCAAAGATAGTGTTGTGCTAGAGTTTCACAATGTGTCACAGTGATCCGTATCTAATGCTATATTTATAATTGGCAGTTTGATCCATCGTAAAGCCATTGATCGATTACATAATACACAGTGTGCATTGTTTTCTTTTATACTTCTTTGTAGTATGTCTCGAATGGATTTAATCGAATTGCTTTTGTATACAGGAATTCGAAACAAAAAATCCGCAAATAACTACGTTGAAAGAGAGATTGGAGAAAGAGGAACTCGAGGCGAGAGTCGAAGTATTAAATAACATCGAAAAGAAATATTGCGATGTAGGACCTACTTACGACTGTGTCGTCTTTCACGATGGTGAGGTTTGGAGGTAAAGATACATGTATGATATTTTTCTATCCCTGTTTTCTCTTTATTTTCATTTATTCATTTCTCTATCTGATACTGATACGTTTTACTGAACGTCGTACATTTTCTTTTGTTGCAGAGCATGTATCGATACTTCCGAGGAAGGTAATCTGGAAGCTAGTGTTCTCTTAGGTGAATACAGCACAACCTTGGAGTACGCGCCTCTTATTCCAGAAGATCAATTAAACGTTAGTATTAACGTTCACGATGATGGGAACACGCTCGAAATTGTTAGCTTATGTTGTAAGTAATATCAAATCGGGAAAGTTCGATCGTTTCTAAATCGAGACGTCTGTTTGTTGACTGCAATTATTTTTCATTACAGCCAGTCACGGTACACACGTAGCTTCAATTGCCGCTGCGTATTTTCCTGATAATCCTGAATTAAACGGCGTAGCCCCTGGTGCTCAAATTATTTCATTAAGCGTCGGAGATAGCCGCATAGGCACGATGGAAACCGGAACTGCGGTGGTACGAGCGATGATACACGTAATGAAGCACAAAGAAAAGATACACGTGATAAATATGAGTTACGGAGAGCATGCTCACTGGTCAAATTCGGGGAGGATAGGAGAGTTAATGAACGAAGTCATCGATAAATACGGTGTAACTTGGGTGGCGTCCGCTGGTAATCTCGGACCAGCTTTGTGTACTATTGGTTAGTAAGATCCTAGTCTAGATCCTAGTCTTCAAAAATGTTCGAATATCTGCATTATACCTGATTTGTTCTGAAATCCCATAGGAACACCGCCGGATATCAGTACCAATAGCGTGATCAGCGTTGGCGCTTACGTTTCCCCTGACATGATGGTAGCTGAATATTCTCTAAGGGAAAAGATGCCGGGCATGACGTATACATGGTCGTCCCGCGGACCGATGATCGATGGCGGAGCTGGAATTACCGTGTGCGCTCCGGGAGGAGCGATAACCAGCGTACCTAATTTTACTTTGAGAAAAAGTCAGCTGATGAACGGTACAAGCATGGCTGCTCCACATGTAACTGGCGCTATCGGTACAGCAATATCTTTCATTGAAGTACAGAATATATTATCGCGTGCTAACAATGTATCAAATTAATATGTTTATTACAGCGGTACTTATATCGGGGCTTATCGCGAAAGGTTGCCCGTATTCTCCGTACCATATAAAACGAGCCCTTGAGAATACAGCGTTGTACATACAACATCTGGATACTTTCGCACAAGGTTCAGGATTATTGCAGGTTGAACGTGCATTCGATCATCTCGTTACTTATACCAATGTGCCCGAAAGAGATGTAAGATTTACTATTAGCTGCGGCCCGAATAACGGCAAAGGGATTCACATGAGAAGCGGCATTATTGATCGATCGAAAGATTATGCCGTTACGGTTGAACCAGTGTTCCTTAATAGCGAAAATACCGGTATAACTTTATGCGTTAAATTTAATACGATATATATCGATTAAGTCTATTTAATATTTGGATGCTATATAATATTTGGATGTATATAACATATATAATATTTTATAGACCCGGCACTCAAAATTGCTTTCAATTTAAAGTTAACGTTGGTGTGCGATGCATCCTGGATACATTTTCCTTCGCATCTCGATTTAATGAATATGGTCCGTGCGTTTTCGATTAAAGTCGATGCCTTTAATCTACCCGAAGGTGTTCACACAACCAGGTAAAAGTATTACATTTTATCGTTACCGATGTTTGATCAACTTTTATATCGGCAACGTACTTGATATTATTGATAACAATCATTATTGTTGTTTTCAGCGTCCGAGCTTATGATGTAACGGACATTGCCAAGGGCCCGGTGTTCCAAATACCAGTTACTGTAGTGCAACCGCAAACACTGCCAAAAACCGCGATCCTTCCGGATTTAGCATATACAAATATTCTGTTTAAACCAAATACGTTGCGTCGACATTTTATCCTTGTTCCAGATGATGCGACATGGGCGGGTGAGTACCTTGTCGAGTATTTTACTTCTTTACACGTCGTACTCGTTTTTCTGATCGTATATACATATTCAGTCATTAGATTGAAGAGCACGGAGAAAGATAAAGTTGGGAGGTTCGTCATTCATAGTGTTCAACTGAAACCTCGCCTGTCTTGCAAAACTTTCGAAGTTAACAAATTGTTCACCGTTACCTCTCAATCAGAAATTGTTCATCCATTTGCTGTCCAGGTGCGTATATAACATTTGCAACGGTGCTTATACATTTATATTTATACATATAGTATGTGTTTCGTACTTAGGGAGGATTAATCTTAGAAGTGGTTGTCGCGAAATATTGGGCGAACATAGGAGATATGTTGATCGATTACATTATAGAATTTCATGGCGTTCGCATGTTAAGCGGAAATCTTACGATGCAATCCGGAGATGGAATAAATCGTATAGAAGTCCGGAGTTCACTCCGAAACGAAGAGGTTGTTCCCTGTATCTGTCTAAAGTCATCCGTACAGATATTGAAGTATGTAACATAAACGTGCTCCGTATTAATTGAGAGAGTAAAAGTCATAATGGTGTCAGTCAGTTTTTAGTCAAGTTGTGCCTTGAATTATTTTTTCAACTACAAAGAAAACGTAAAGTAAGTCCTCACTCATTTCCCTTGCAAACTGATAGCAGCAAAATGTAGGCATGTTAACAGAATAGCTGTACCACTTACGGAACCTTGCCATTCCGTAAAGTGATTCGCACCACTATGACTTTCATCCCATCATTTATCACATTACATGAGGATTAATTAATTTTTCATATAACGTTGCAGGCCGACCGAAGCGAAAATCGCTCCTTTACGAGAACGAGACATTATACCACCATGCCGACAAATTTACGAGTTGCAGTTAACTTATACGTTTCACTGTGCAAAAGCGACCGAAGTAACTCCGAATGCGACGCTCCTTAGCGATTTATTGTACGAGAGCGAATTCGAGAGTCAGATGTGGATGATTTACGACAGTAATAAACAACTTATTTGTTGCGGAGATGCATATCCATCAAAGGTAAATATAACTTGCATTTAGTCGTGTTATAAAGACTTCTATTTAAAATGTAGCGTAAAATGTTGTTTGTTACAGTACGCTAATCAAAAGTTAGAGAAAGGTGATTATACTTTGAAAATCCATGTGCGTCACGACAAAAAAGATTTGCTTGACAAATTAACGGAGATGCCATTCCTTTTAAATTACAAATTAAGTAATCCGATCAGTTTAGACATTTATGCTAGTCAATCGCAAGCAATGATCAGCGGCAAAAAAATGATAGCAGCTTCGGTACCGCCCGGTCACATTCTTCCTTTATACGTTGCTCCAATATCCAATGAGAATAAGTAAGTATCTTCTTTTAAATATAATTTCCTCTTTCATTATATTGTATTATATGTATGACAAGTGTTGCCTCGAAAAATATCATTTTCTATAAAACGATGAAGGCAGCATCTATATGTTAAAGTTGGTTCGATTTTCACGTAGGATATTTCGATGTTCATTTCGTAAGTGCACACTAGCAATGATACGTTAATAATATTTTCTTGTACAAAGGAAACGAGAGCATGGTTCATTTCATTATTATTTCCAAATGTAAATGTTCAAAACATGTTTAATCCAGACTTATCACTCGATTCTCGACACAACTACTTTTTTATCATATTTTTCTATAAGAGCGTAGAATATATAAATGAATCTAAGAGATATTACTAAGAAACTTTTCTTTCTTTTTATTCAGCAGCGCTGAAAACAAGTAAGTTCGTAGCATTTTTAAACATTTACATGTTTTCAATTAGAAAAATTATATTGCTTTATGGAAGCAAATATATTCTTCAAATGTTTCATTTCATGTGTCGCTTTACTGCATTTGCATTCTGATTTAATTTAAGGAAATACATGTTTTCACGCTTTATGGCTTGGCAGAATGTTTTCTCGCTAAGTATTATTTGCCTTTAGACTTCAACATTATAATTAAGGATGTATTGGCTATACAGTCAATCACAAAAGTTTATGTACCTTAGAAAAACGCATTTCCTATGATTAGAAAGAAATCAGACGTCGGAAGAATAATGCTAATAATAAATAGCTACGTGCTAAAAAGTATAAAAGGAAATATCCAATTAAGTATTGACGCTGACGAAAAATTTTTTTTCAAATTTGCGAAAAATGCTTCAAATAAAAGTTGTTTTCCTTCTAACTTCGATATTTAACAAGTTTACATATGATTATTTGGCATTTTATTGATGTTGGCAAAATCCGACCATTCCACCATCGAATCAGTGAACTTTTGGCAAAAAATTTCGTTTTTCCTCAATTACTCCTAAACCGTTGAACCTACGGGAAAATTGTATACAACCTTTCTTGTAGAGGACGATGAGATCTACAATTTCTGTATAAAAACATTTCGCTAGCTTCAATAGTTTACGAGTTATTGACGAAAAACGAAAAAACAGTTTTTTGCAAATTACTCGTAAACTATTGAAGCTAGCGAAATGTTTTTATACAGATATTGTAGATCTCGTCGTCCTCTACAAGAAAGTTCTAATGCAATTTTCCCGTAGATCCAACGGTTTGGGAGTTATTGGTCAAAAACGAAAATTTGGAAGAAATTGAAGGGGTACCCCTTGGAGAAGTCTCAGAAAAATCGAAAATTTTTGTTGTTGTTTATGATTATCAGCAGCGCTGAAAACAAGTAAGTTCGTAGCATTTTTAAACATTTACATGTTTTCAATTAGAAAAATTATATTGCTTTATGGAAGCAAATATATTCTTCAAATGTTTCATTTCATGTGTCGCTTTACTGCATTTGCATTCTGATTTAATTTAAGGAAATACATGTTTTCACGCTTTATGGCTTGGCAGAATGTTTTCTCGCTAAGTATTATTTGCCTTTAGACTTCAACATTATAATTAAGGATGTATTGGCTATACAGTCAATCACAAAAGTTTATGTACCTTAGAAAAACGCATTTCCTATGATTAGAAAGAAATCAGACGTCGGAAGAATAATGCTAATAATAAATAGCTACGTGCTAAAAAGTATAGAAGGAAATATCCAATTAAGTATTGACGCTGACGAAAATTTTTTTTTCAAAATTGCGAAAAATGCTTTAAATAAAAGTCGTTTTCCTTCTAACTTCGATATTTAACGAGTTACGTATGATTATTTGGCATTTTATTGATGTTGACAAAATCCGACCATTCCAGCGTCGAAACGGCGAACTTTTGGAAAAAGATTTCGTTTTTCCTCAATAACTCTTAAACCTTTGGAGATACGAGAAAATCGCACAAGACCTTTCTTGTAGAGGACGATGAGATCTACAATTTCTGTATAAAAACATTTCGCTAGCTTCAATAGTTTACGAGTTATTGACGAAAAACGAAAAAACAGTTTTTTGCAAATTACTCGTAAACTATTGAAGCTAGCGAAATGTTTTTATACAGATATTGTAGATCTCGTCGTCCTCTACAAGAAAGTTCTAATGCAATTTTCCCGTAGATCCAACGGTTTGGGAGTTATTGGTCAAAAACGAAAATTTGGAAGAAATTGAAGGGGTACCCCTTGGAGAAGTCTCAGAAAAATCGAAAATTTTTGTTGTTGTTTATGATTAGCAATGTTCTTCCGACGTCTGATTTCTTTTTAAAAAATGCGTTTGTAAAGTGCATAAACTTTGGGATTGACTGTATAGCCAATACATCTTTAAGAAGACATGTGTCGTTTCAGTAGATCTATGCACACGCGCGGGTGTTGGTACATGGTTTTGTGTATCAGTATGTACATGTGTACATAAATACATATATGTTTCGTTCGAGAAAAACACACGCTTTCAGCATATCCTAACACCTTTGATAGTTTTCGTTTGGCTGTCTTTAATGAAATAAAATACTACATGGGACTGGATCGGTCCGAAGGAAAACTAATCTGTCGTTTCTTTTGTTTCGAAGAGTTTCCAGAGGTGCAACCTTAGGAAACGGCAGTTACTTACAGGGCACATTGACTTTCTGCAAAGATGAGAATGGGAAGAAAGTAGACTGTCATACGATCAAGTATATCTTATCTGAGCCAACCAAGAAATCTAGTAGCAGCAGTAGCAACAATACATACAATTCATCGAATAAAGAAAAGATTACCAAATGGGATGAATATAACGAAGCGCTTCGAGATTTCAAGTGTAGCTGGCTCACGAAACTGGGTAATCCTACTTGCTGTTTATTTTCTATCAATTACATACGTTATGTACTATTCATTTTATCAATAATTTGATTTCTTTTTTACCGGTTCTGATTTGACAAATAGCGCCTTCCACGAGTAAGTTGCCGAACCCCTGCTCTGCGTTGCTCTGAGATTTATGATTCGAAACAATCCTCTGTAATTTCAATTCCACGTGTACAGCCCCTGTTTAAACGATCGTTGAACTTGTTCATCATTTGTTCGAAATTTATACCCGACGCACGTTAACACTGTGATTACATGCATCGCAATGATCTTTTCTAACTTCTTTTCACATGTTCGACTTTCCCTTCTTTCTCCCCGTACCGTCTCGTCTGCGTATGCATATATTCGTGCTAAAAATCTGATTACTTTATTTCTGTTTGTATCAGAACCTGGAGAATACGCAAATCTGTTGTACGGAGAATTAAAAAACCTGTTCTCGGACCATTTACCCGTTCACACTGCCATGTTAATTTCTTTGGACTCGCCCGAAGCTCGACGTCACGTGCCGCACGACGATATCACAGACGAATCTGTTTCCCTAGCGAATCAAATTGTAACTGTCGCCGATGCGGTGATTACTAACATAGATCAAGATAAACTGTTAGCCTATTATGGATTGAAGAACGACCAGCGAGAGGATGCGGCCAAGATTAGGGCAACTATGGAAAAACAAAAGTTCAGCCTCATAAAGGCATTGGTAAAGAAAGGATGCGCGCTGGCAAGATTGTATGCGCACAATGCGAAAAGAGGAGACCAGGATCCCAAGTCGTACGAACACTTATTGGAAAGCGTGGCGCATCATTGGCAGGAAGTACAAAAGTTTGCCGAACCGACCGACATCAAGGCAAGATTTCTATACCGCGATCAATTATTATCCGTAGCAGACTGGGTTTCATGTAAAATCATTTTTACCTGTTCATTTTCAGGTGATTAATCTCTCGCTATGGCATGCTCACATCAACAAGCATTACGGCCGCTACATGAAATTGTTATTACGCTATTACGAAGAGCATCCGTTGAAGGAAGTTGATGAGAAATGTATAGAAATAGCTAAAGTCCTAGGATGGGATCATTTGTCGCGCCATATCGCCTCGAGTATATCAGCGCGTTACGCTCCTTCCTACAGATCGTTTTGATCGATGGTAACCGATGCTTGTTTGCTAACTTGAGCTTGATCATAACGGCATATCGTCATAATAACATAATAAAGAGCATAGATATAACTTTGTAGGTACGTTAAAATTAATTTGATATTCTAATACGGGAAGCAAACGGTGGCAGCAATTTTCAGTGCAACTCTACGAGGACAGATCGACGTTTCTCGTCGACGACCAATTCAGGTGTATTATACACTTAGCAGAATATAATTTTATCCACATTTAAACGAAACAAATGACTCTAGATATAAATATTTTAATTTTCTGGCCATTGGAAAGAAGAATAAAAAAATAACGAAATAAATATAATCTTGATGGTTACACGTATGATTTGTTTCATAATCACGAAGACCGCACCAGCAGTGACAGATCAGATACTTACTCTGGATAAAATTAAAAAGTATGACAATACGTGTATGTGTACGTGCACAGGGAAAATGATTTTATCATTAAAAGAGTCGATGTTTAATAAATAATGCATTTTTGTGGCGATTCTCGTCTTGTCCAAAGAAAAGAAATGCGTCGAGATATCATGGGAACTGTTATCGATTTCGGTATGAAAATTCACTCACGGCAATGTGCTAGTTAGGAGCATTCGTTTCAACTAACATAAACTACCTTATATGTATCATTTAGGTTCTCCATTTTTACGATATATTAAATGTAAATAAATAATATATAGTAAAACACGCAATACAAATTACACATACACATACGTATGTGTACATACAGGTATTTTCTTTATATCCACAAACGTTTACCGAGTTCTATTATTTATAAATGTATGCGCTTATGTGACTGATTATTATGAAATTTATATGCAATATATTCAATCCTTGTTGTCATTGCGTTAGATATAAAAAATATATTTTTATTCCACTTTACATACTCAGCAATTAACAATTGTTAACAATATCTGTATATGTTGTGTAACGTACAATACATGTACTGGATATCAAGGATAGAAGCCATCGAAAATATCCTCTGCCACATACACGTACTCTCGTACGAGCCACGTATCCGCATTGTAATTCAAACTCGATGGCTCGGGTTACTTTGGCTGATGATGAGAGAAGGCTAATACGAGACTTTGAAGCGTTAAAATCCAAACAAAAATAATTTTTCAATGAAATCATTAACTCTTTCAGTTCCTGCTTTTTATTTTAACGTATGATTTCCTTATTTCCACCGTTCTCATGCTACGTTTTCTAATACTATTTCCGTGCGAGTTCATTTGCATGTTTCGTATTCCTGTGAAACTGGAGCAGAATTTCGGGCAAATTGGCGCCGAGTAAAAGAACCGCAGTGTCTACTAAATCAAATTATACAAAAAAATATACCGGAACTCTTCGGCGCATTAAAGATGCGTTCTTATTCTTCACGTATTTCTCAAATGCCTATGTGCTGAGAGGAAATATTAATTTCATGCTTTAAATCTAAGTGCGGTAATGTATTTTAAAAATTACTAAATACTGATTAATAAATGAATGGAAATAAATCTTGGCATTTTTAATTCACGACCCTTGACCGAGTGACCAATCCCAGTTCTTCGCTTGGTACCGTTTCCGAACCTTCGGAACCGAACGAAAAACTACAAAGGAGAATCTCTTTATCGTAAATTGTTTATTTATTGATAAATGAATGAAAATGAATCTTAGCATTTTTATTTCACGATCCTTGACCAAATGATCAATACTGGGGGTGAGTACATGAGGTCGGGAAACATCACCCATTTCGTTGAATAATTTACTGTACGTCCTAATGAATGTTACGAGGAAATGAGAAATACCGCTGATTCAATTTTGCTGGAGTAGAAGTTGAACGAGTAGCAGAGAAGGTGAAACTTACTTTGTTTGTAGGGAAACTGGGCTTACTCTGATCAAACCACATATCCTTCTTGTTTTCCAGTATCACTATAGTAAATAGTAATCTGTAATTAAGATCCCCTGATTACATTTATTTTCTAATATACATCAGTAATTCGCTGTACGTAAAAGTTTAAGAATATGATTCTAATAATTGCTGGAGTCAATGAAATTCTACACAAAAGAGTTTTATTGTTTTCTTCCATTCTGAAATTTGCCTATCACGTTTTTGAGATAATCGAGTGTAGATGTGCGAAAAATACCAATTTCATTAGACCATCTTGGAAGAGCAAAGGTTTTTGCATACGAGTCATTGATTATTTCTGTTCTATAAACATTATATTTATTATATATTAAACAAAATAAAAATAATTTTTGACACGTTTGAAGTATGTGATTTGAATAAGGATAATCTTTCCTGTTATCATTTTTATTTAATAGGCATTTATTCTTTGACAAATTCTATTTGATTTGTAAAAATCGACGAAGTCACGATAACTTATACAAAAATTGATTATTTTGTCGCGATGAAAGACGCTTGTACGATATATGCTATTTAAAAAGCTTATTATAGTGAATGATTAGTTTGCTGGCACCTTAAGGAAAGCAAGCGTAATAAATTCTTCTCTTTTAGTAGCACCTAAGTATTTCTGACACAAGACGTACGTCATTCAGAATCAAATCTGACTAGTAGCACAGTTTTGATTGACAAGTAACGCAACACGTGTATGCACTACTCGTAGGAATATGTAGCAAATACTGCCATTGAATATTTATAATAGTCAGGATAAAAATTCATCGTACTCGTAAGACAGTCTTAACAGAAACTACAAAAAATTATAAGAAACTGCAAATGTTTAAAGTAAAGACTAAAAAGTTCTTCCATAACTACTTCTGTGAACGATTAATTAATCGAGAAACAAAAGTTTTGAAAAGATTATATAGATTACTTACTAATAAATGGAATAGTTTAGTTGTTTCATTTCTAGTTGAGAACTCTATGGAAGTGAGAAACTTATAAAAAGAATAAGCAAGGATGAATGGGTGTTTGAAGTCGTCAGGCAATGTACAACGTTCGATCGCATAATTTTATTTCGAAACATTAAGTTCCCTGCAATCACGTCTAAATATCCGCAACGCTGATACCAATGATAAAATGATTGTGAAATATTATTATCGACTTGTCAAGCGTTATTAGGAAGGGCCAAGCTGCATCAGCGTTTCCAAGTCTCGTTTCGGCGTTTGGCTCTCGTTAAATCGATCTCGTGATCGACATCGAACGAAAAGAAAAAGTGAAAGGAAAGAACGAATCGCGGATCTAAACGGGCGCATTGATACATTGACAACATCCATTGATCTAAAAATGTTTTTTTTTTTTTGTTTTTCGACATTTGGCAGTAGGAAAGGGAAATAGGAAGATTCGGTGAACGCGAGCGTCTCGGCAATTTACTTTTCTTCTTTGGTTCGCCGTTGCTTGTGTCATTCGCGCGAGCATTCGGAATTTAATTCTTTATGCGCGCGTTACGCAGCAATATAATTATTCTCTCACAGACGTTTACGTACATACACGATCACACGGACGACACACACGCACGACATTCATGCGTTCTTTTGGTTTCTTGTCCTTTGGCACAATGTTATCCGGCACTCGGCTTAGCAGTGACCAACGAGGGACGATGGCCTTCTTCACCGTGACCACAGTACCGCTGTTACTAACAGACACATCGGCAAGTGTGACAATCTCTCCCAACGTCCATTGTAACCGGCGTCCGAACTTTGCGCTGCTTCGGCCAGACCTGGACACAGTTATTAACATCCATATCTACCCCTTCAATTCATTTGAGACACCACGCTAAAACGAAATAGTTGAGCTTACCACCGATGATTGATACATGGTCCTTTGCGCGCGATGTTCTGTCGTAACCATCGATTTTGATATCTGCAAATGAACAGTTTTCGCGGATACAACAATTTCCCCCATTAATTTTACCTAAGATCCCTTCAACGCGGCTGTTCGTTATTCTTTAGCTCAAAACAATTTCGAAAGCAACGGATCGTTAAGAAAAATATATGGTGCAACAAAGTGCACAATAATTCATTTAAACGATGGCAATCACAATCAACGGGAGCGTAGGAGAACATTTTACGATTATTGCCACTCGAATGATTTCTTGTTATAGGACAAGGATAACTTACCGTACAGCCGTACAGTGCCCTCGGCTTTCCCGAGACTGTTCGTCGACACGCATTTGTAACTGCCCATGTCCTGCTTCGTGAATACTTTGATTACCAGCGACATCAGAACTTTGTATCCGGATCGCTCCTCCCTCACGCTATACTTGAGTCTGCATAATTGGTTGCTTCTATAGTTGGAGTAAGGGTCGAAAGTTAACCCATTTGCATATTACCGTACAACTCTTTTGTTTTCGCATCAATCATTGGATAAAACGCTGTATTAATTATTATATCAACTGTTGTATTCATTATAGGAAACAGAGTGTCAATCAGTACGCGAATTATTGTATCAATCATTATACAAAATGTACTGATTTCTATTATGAGATTCATGGTACGATGCAAATGGATTGAAAATGCCAGATGAAAATAAATGGAATAGTTTAGTTGTTTCATTTCTAGTTGAGAACTCTATGGAAGTGAGAAACTTATAAAAAGAATAAGCAAGGATGAATGGGTGTTTGAAGTCGTCAGGCAATGTACAACGTTCGATCGCATAATTTTATTTCGAAACATTAAGTTCCCTGCAATCACGTCTAAATATCCGCAACGCTGATACCAATGATAAAATGATTGTGAAATATTATTATCGACTTGTCAAGCGTTATTAGGAAGGGCCAAGCTGCATCAGCGTTTCCAAGTCTCGTTTCGGCGTTTGGCTCTCGTTAAATCGATCTCGTGATCGACATCGAACGAAAAGAAAAAGTGAAAGGAAAGAACGAATCGCGGATCTAAACGGGCGCATTGATACATTGACAACATCCATTGATCTAAAAATGTTTTTTTTTTTTTGTTTTTCGACATTTGGCAGTAGGAAAGGGAAATAGGAAGATTCGGTGAACGCGAGCGTCTCGGCAATTTACTTTTCTTCTTTGGTTCGCCGTTGCTTGTGTCATTCGCGCGAGCATTCGGAATTTAATTCTTTATGCGCGCGTTACGCAGCAATATAATTATTCTCTCACAGACGTTTACGTACATACACGATCACACGGACGACACACACGCACGACATTCATGCGTTCTTTTGGTTTCTTGTCCTTTGGCACAATGTTATCCGGCACTCGGCTTAGCAGTGACCAACGAGGGACGATGGCCTTCTTCACCGTGACCACAGTACCGCTGTTACTAACAGACACATCGGCAAGTGTGACAATCTCTCCCAACGTCCATTGTAACCGGCGTCCGAACTTTGCGCTGCTTCGGCCAGACCTGGACACAGTTATTAACATCCATATCTACCCCTTCAATTCATTTGAGACACCACGCTAAAACGAAATAGTTGAGCTTACCACCGATGATTGATACATGGTCCTTTGCGCGCGATGTTCTGTCGTAACCATCGATTTTGATATCTGCAAATGAACAGTTTTCGCGGATACAACAATTTCCCCCATTAATTTTACCTAAGATCCCTTCAACGCGGCTGTTCGTTATTCTTTAGCTCAAAACAATTTCGAAAGCAACGGATCGTTAAGAAAAATATATGGTGCAACAAAGTGCACAATAATTCATTTAAACGATGGCAATCACAATCAACGGGAGCGTAGGAGAACATTTTACGATTATTGCCACTCGAATGATTTCTTGTTATAGGACAAGGATAACTTACCGTACAGCCGTACAGTGCCCTCGGCTTTCCCGAGACTGTTCGTCGACACGCATTTGTAACTGCCCATGTCCTGCTTCGTGAATACTTTGATTACCAGCGACATCAGAACTTTGTATCCGGATCGCTCCTCCCTCACGCTATACTTGAGTCTGCATAATTGGTTGCTTCTATAGTTGGAGTAAGGGTCGAAAGTTAACCCATTTGCATATTACCGTACAACTCTTTTGTTTTCGCATCAATCATTGGATAAAACGCTGTATTAATTATTATATCAACTGTTGTATTCATTATAGGAAACAGAGTGTCAATCAGTACGCGAATTATTGTATCAATCATTATACAAAATGTACTGATTTCTATTATGAGATTCATGGTACGATGCAAATGGATTGAAAATGCCAGATGAACAATCTCGATTCAACTAACGCAATAAAAGTAAATATGAGTTTGCGTTGAAATAATACAAAACTGATAAAATTTGAAAAAAATAAGGAAGACACTTATTAAAGTAAAAAGTAGGGACTGGGCGAGTTAATAATTTTGTTGGAAAATTATTTTTCTTTACGAATAAAAAATGAAGAGTTGAAAAAGGCAAGGGAAAAAGAGTATACGTAAACCCACCCTTCGAGCAAGACTTCCTCGTCCTCCGAGTCGCGCCGGTTCTTTATCCAGTAATTAATTGTATTTGGAAATGCTTCTACGTAGCACTGTAGCTGCACGTCCGTGCCGAAAGGCGCCCCCAAAAGCTGATTAGGTACTTTGACGACAGGTGCAACTGCGAAAGTGGTTTCAAATTAATTGCCCGATATTCATCGTGTTACACGGCTCGCCAACGTTTTAATTAACGCTCTCACATGAACACCGCGAATAATTATTATGTAATTTGCTTTTACTTTACTTCAAGACGTTGCGCGAGTCGCGTTGCTTTTTATCTTTCAAACGATACGCTCTGCTTTATCGTGTAGTCGAGCTTCTGAAATTAATTTAATTTCTTAGGATTCGTGCAAAAACGTAGATTTAATGAAATGTTATTGATCGTCACGGATTCATTAAAGTTCGACGATAATCACGCGAGTACCAATAAAATGAACAATTTCAGAAATTCGTGTACATACTACATTAGGCACTGACGAAGGTATAATAACGAATCGTTATGATAATTTCATACGAGCTTATCTGTCGGAATATGCATTTGGAAATCAATATTCACAGCCCTATTATCGCGTCCAGCAACGTCGTAAAAAGGTCTCCAAGTTAAAATATGCGTGCGCGTGTGCTGCTGCCGATTGTTAACTTCCAGTGTAACAATGCGACGCGACGGTACGAAGTTATGCGATGTCTATAACACACGTTACTGAGAGCGTATAATTAATTTTCGAGCTGAATTCTATTGTTATTGAGTAATTGATACCGGTGCTATTTATGCAAATGATTGAACCTTGATACAATGTGTATTTGAACCGCGTTATCCAAGTAGGACAACATTCAGTTTTAATAATTGTGCATTTTCCATTTTCCTAGTAGAGTAATACATATGTAAAAATAATTATATGTGCTATTGCATATAGAAAAGCTCCCAACATTTAACAATTGCACTAAGCAATTACATTGCAATACAATTATTATTCTATCCATTTCTTTGGTAAAAGATGTTATAAAAAACTAGATCAATCTTTTCGTTTGCTTAGAACTGTTGAAAAAGTCGCGTTTGAAGAGCTCGATATAAAAACAATGCAAATCCAGAATATTAAAATCTGTAATCGTTGCTGATTCAACGATAAAAGGAAGGAGACCGCTTCGTTTTTGAGCAAATATTAAAATTGCAACGTCTACACCGAAAGGAAACGTTATTGCGCTCGGTAATAAATCCGCAGCGTTCTTCCCGCTGACAACCAATCTCTTGCTAGATTTCAGCTGCGGGAAAAATAAACCGATGTAAATCGATTCGCGTAAAACGATTTGATATTTCCTTGACAAATATGATAGTTCAGTAAAACTACAAACAATCATTGCGTCCCATTTTGCATCTCTCCTCGTCGTTTCAAGATACTGCCAGAGGGACGAACATACATATTACGAAATAAACAGGCGAGCTGCATAAGAGGCCACAAAGAAGAGCTATACTTTGTCTTTAGTTTGATTCGTTTAAATCCAACGCGATGAGGGTATTATTACTGTAATTAGCGGTTCACCGTTTCCTTCAAAGAGTAACCACTTGCAGCGGTGTGGGAAATAGGAACGCTGCGATGGCTCGAGTGATTCGTCAAAGGTGCGCACTGAACAATCGCCTTTTGTCTTTGGGAGCCTTTCCTTTCCTGCCGGCTACAATCAGGATCAGGGATTAGGAGGGAAAACAAGCTTACAATTCACGGCGAGCGTCACCCGCTTGCTAACGGCGGGCGGCACGTCGTTGCTGGCGATGCAGAGATACGCCCCCATTTGTCGCCTCTCGACACGATGGAATTGCAGCAGTGAACCGTTGTACGTTTCGTGACTCTGGAAATGGCTACCACCTGCGCACCCAGAAAACTTCCGTCTGCATATTTTCATATTCACTTCCCCGCGAACCATCCCTTAACCACTTACTGCCCTCCTCTCGCTCCGATCATTCGCTTTGTCCATTAATATTCGACTGATTTTATGCGCCACAAGACAGAGAGACGATAATTAAATGAACATCACAACATTCAAGGATTATATTTATCTATTCAAATTAATTAGCGGATATTTATGCACTTGTAACGAAAGAACATTAAAAGCTGAATGCTTAGAGCAGTTTTTACTTGATTAAAGGAATGCTTGGCTAAAACAGATTTCTTAAATTGATACAAAAATTGCAAATCATACACACACACACACACTTATTACTATGAATTGACGTATCAAATAATCAATTAAGCAGCACAAATGACCTTGCCTGATGAAAAGTATGCCACTAATGCTTGCACTACCTTTTTAAAATACGTACAAGTTTGACATTGTTTTCGGAGCAACAAGTCGCTTTGAGTAATGGTTAAACACTTAGTTGAACGTGCATAATAAGCAAAATAGGTTTGAAATTTAATCATCTGGGGTTCAGTCAATACAAACTAATTTCGAGAAGTGTGTCAAGTGGTTCGCTAGTATCCTCCCCCGTGAAGTACAAATTGTGTACGCGCTGAGCGCGGTCTAATAACCACTTAACCATGTTAAATGTTAATTGGCAAATTTAAAAAAGTAATTACGCGATGAAAGCGGTGGATCGCAATAATTATACAACGATAAACTGATATTAAAACGCCGAGGTAGAATGCGAAGTTAAAACGCATTCTACGTTGGTAATTAGCTTGAATACTAGAGTTCGTAATTTTAATTTCAACGGATCAATTAAATAAAGATAATCGCCGTAAAACGTGAGACCTGTACGATGTCCTCTGAAATTGTTTAGCTTTCGCTTTTTCAATCGTGTTGCACAGAGGACACGACCGGAAACAATGGAGCGAAGTGCTCGCAGCGATAATGGTCAAGGGATAAAAGATTGCCGACCGGAAAGAACATTATTTTTCGAGACGAGAAGTTACAACTTCCCAGATCTAAACGAATCCAGGTGGAACTTTTAACCAGGTCGAAGCCACAGGGTAACGCAATTGAACGAAGAAAGTTGCCGTCGAAGAACGGCGAAGAGGAATAAAGCGAAATAAAGATAGCGGGGGAACAGAGTGTGCATGGATGTGGGAGAGGAAGCCGGAAGCACAATACTGTAAGCGAAAGAAGAGATGAGAAGATATATGCTTAATTCACTGCTTAGGTAGCTAACGAGTTCCTTAAGTGAGCGAACGCTAACGAGTTTGCAAAGCTCGTAAGAAAAGCGTCATCGTCAGGCAGAAAAGCGACGCAAGTTGCACGTGAGCGGCGGTTTTGTGTATTTAGAAGGGAAACCATCGATGTTGCCTTAAAAATACCGCTTTTTCTACCATTTAACAGTCCCTCTCTTCAGTCAAGAGAATGATATTCATTTAGCATTATAATTAAATCCAATAATTAACGTAATAATTTATAGAAATTGTGCGACGAATGTCCATATTCTAAATTTCTAGTAATATAATCGTATTGGCAAATTGCCAGAGGACATGCAAATAATGCATTTCATTAACGATATTGAATATGATTAATATACATATATATTTTTCATCTGTACGATCATTTGTGATATTCGTAATAAAATAATTTTTAATAAGAGATTTTCCATTTACATTGGCTTTTTCAAATAGCAGATTTTAATTAAGAATTTTTTTAACATTATTGACATATCTGAAATGAATATCCTCGACTCATTATTAAAAGACACAGAGGTTTCGATTTACCTCTCTCGTAAGAGGCTATTAAAAAATGGTTTCATCAAATTTTTTTAGCTCATTCGCGAGGAGTGCACGCGTTTGTTCGTGGATTAAAATGGGAGTTAGTAGTCGTAATAACGATCGTTGAAACTACCTCATGGGAGAAAGAAAAGATATCAAAAAAGACAAATACTGCTCGAGCGTTTCAGCCGCATCTGAGGATGTCGGAGATGGGTAGTGCAACTAGTAACGTGGGCCAAAGTTTTGCCAACTCGAAGCCCTGCAGCGGGAACTACTACGTTCCTTTCCCTTGATGTGTGTACAAACGATGTTATACGTATACGCACCTCATATACATATATATACACAGTACTTCCCTTCTAAGCCGCACAAGCGTAAGCTCAGTGGTTCGTTTCATACACAGACGTATACTGCAGACACTATCATTCAAAAGTTCTACGACGACGGAGACCTAATCAGCGTTACATTTATCAAATCTGTACATATTTTCCTCTGATCTCTAAGAAAACAGATTTTAAATAACTTGCTTAGTCTTCTTTACAGAAACAATTAAAGACCTTTTATAAGACACCGATGATACTAATAAACAAATGATTACAGACGTGAATTAGTATTCCAACTCATAATTAACATATAATATTTAATGAACATCATTCGAATTTCCGTAATGCTTTTGACACGTGCAAAAAGACGTAATCTGTAGTACATGAGAATGAAGAGAAGATCGAAAGCTAACTGCTATTTAAACATTGAACGAGGAAACTTTTGCTCGGCAGTGTATGTACGTGTACTTACACGATTCCATCTTTTGTTCTGGGTATATATATATATATGTGTGTGTGTGTGTGTGTGTGTGTATGTGTGTGCACAAAATACCATGAAGAGAATCCTTATCCTGTTTCTTTCCACCCGCGGCCGACGTTCCTGTCTTCGAGTTCAAGGTGGTGAAACTTGTTTCAACGAGCCAGCTCTTTATATCCACTTCACTGTGTTCTTAAAGCTCAATCCGTGTTACTGCGTGTATACATGTCTTCAAAAATTTCCCGGCTCTTGATTCCGCGCTTTTGTTAACCACGATCCCGTGGGAACGAAGAGATTACGTTTTTAGGTGTACGCATGCAACAGCTGCCCGGGCTTCTATAATTTTCACTCAGATTTTATGTTACTCATTTCATTTTACGAATCTTGCTAGTTCTTTTATTATCAATTTTCTACCAAGCGCCGTTCAAGTATGCAAGATTATATGGTGTTTCTTGTATACAGTTTGATCTCTATATTCGATAATAAATGTGTGAAACTGAGAAGTGGCTTTTCGATTCACTTAAACGTCAGCTTTTCTTTTTTAGCTGAAGTACGGTGTTTAAGAGGACAATAATACTGCAGTCATAAGTGGATTAATTAGTAAAAAATATTTTTACCCGTATCGGCTGGATGAATCTTTAGAGATACGAAATCATATTACTTTAGTTAACCCGTTCTCCACTTGTAGAAAACTTGAACGTAACTAGGATATTAGTGTCTCCTAATTAGCCTATTAACATCAAACTAACGCGAAGTCACATGCAGGTAAATAGCGAATATCTGACACAGGTTTCGAGCTATATGCATATGTAGCAAGCGCTATTGTAATTAACACAGCGTTGTTAGGAGAGTTGGTACATGAAATGAAATGTACGCTCGCTTAAATCGTACACAATGTGAAAATGAACGCAAATCTCGCGATACGTTTCAACTGCAAACGTCAAACAATAAACGTTTCGCAGCGTTGTCAACAGTGTCCACGTTTCGTCGCCACGTTTATTTTTATACTACTCCATTTTTTCAATATTTGTTCAAGTGCAAATCGTGTCATGCGATAGTATTTTTCAACTCTGTTTTCACTTGTCCATTTGAATATACGAAACATTGTAAAAATACCTGTGCAACCGACGTGAAACAAAATTTTCTTATAAGAAAAACATTAAAAAGAGTTATTTTCCAACGCGTATTGTTCCGCCAACGGATTGTTTTTCTATTGTTGCACATGTACAAATATAAACACGGAACGTAACGCCTTTATTTTATATTTCGATGTTGAACATACGTTTATGATTGAAATGCATGTAGAAAAACCGAAATGAAAATAATACTGCAAGCTCTGAGCGAAAACATATAAAGTATTGAGAGTTTAATTATTTATATCGTTATAATTGTTCCTTTTAGAAGAATGTTCGTTATGTACATGTGAATTTCACAGGACAAACTTCGATTGCTAATAAAAGCGTATCAAATCAACAAAAATATAGAAATATTCAATAACGAGACCGAAATAAAATTAAATGTAATATTTACGTTGGCCAGGAGATTAAAAGCGTGTAGCGAAACGAGAGTCGAGAAACGAGAAACGCTATCGATATTAGTGACATAAAGTAGCGATTACCGGTCGTAAGCATCGTAATAAAGCTCTGGCCGGAGCGGGGGGGAGAGTACGGGGACGAGGGAACAAAGGGTGTAGTAATGGGTAGCAAACGAAATTAAACCTTCGTCGTCTCTCCGTCTTCTTTCTCCTTTTTTTTCTTTTCTTAGAGGAGCAAGGCGAGTGAAAGAGGTCTGTCCGCGGAGATACCCACGAGTTTTATAGTGTCATTATGTACCACCAGAAGAGTTCCTTATGAGAATAGGTTCTCCGTCTTCCCTTCGCCAGGATACTCTCGGGGTTGGCCGCCCCGTCGCGCGACAGCTTAACGTCGCATTGTCGCCCTCCGCAACTGCCAAGTCCGCGCTTGTGTCACCACCGTAAACGATATCCGGTGGCACTGTCCAACAGACGTTAAAAAAACAGTTGTGTCATATGAGACTCTCCTTCTGATATAATACGATGAATTATTATAAAACGATCTCGTAAATTTTATAAAATATTCAATTGACGTTGATACTCGGAGGATTAAAATCATTTCATTCTTGTATTACACCTTGTATTAATACAAAATATTATTAATATCAACAGACTATATTATGATTAAATACAGCTAAATTTATGAGCTGGGAACACGTCGTGTTCCTCAGGTAGGAAACGGCAAATATTTTCCATTCATCAGGATTATGAAACGGCAACCAGTTTAATTTGTTCTCAAACGAGTAGACTGTTTTTCGATAAGGGATTATAAATTGAAGTTGTCGGACGATAAATGAGATGCAGAATAATCTTTGGGTAATAACAGGCATTAAAATTAAACGACGACCGAGCGAAAGAGTTACGATGAAGTTTGGAAATTGACAAAAGAGGCTTTGGTAGGTTAAAGTTCTGAAAAGATCGTTCTGCGGCCTGCGGTATAGGCGAGGTACATCGTAATGAGACGGACTTTAATGTTTAGTTAGTATAACTAGACTCGATTTAGGTGGGGCCGAGATAGGGAGCGGGAACAAGAAATTGCTAATGTTCGGAACGTCGGGAACATAATAATTATCCTAGCCGAGCACGCCTCTCGATGTTAAACCCGTGGCGAGAAAAGAAAACGGTATAATAGGGCAGAGAAAAGAAAGAGAGGGCTCGCCGCGCTTTGTTACGCGTTACTGGATTCACGATTTTATGCAAATTACTTTATGCATACTTTCGTACGAAAAAATAGTTATATGAAATCTGTGTATATCCTGTGTGTAATCCTCTTCATATATACTCGCGGTAATTGTTTTATATATTTTAATCACGCTTGGTAGGTATTGCAATCGGTATAATTATGAAATCACAGACTGATTTCAATCTTCTGTAGTGATAGGAAATTCATTGGTTGGGAAAATTTATATCGCAAGGAGACAACGATACCGGAGTTACGCGAAGAAGGACAAATAGATGCAATAGATTTATTGGCGAACGTCCAATGACACGCCAGTTTGTGTTTTCCATCTGTTGAAAAGAGACTCAATTGCACGAGAAACAAGAGAATTATATGTACATATTTGCACTGCGCGAGCGAAGTGCACATTTCTGCTGAATTTCGCCTGAAACGGATGAGAGGAAGTCCGGGAAGCTTGGAAAAAAATTGAATCCCGTCGATTACGTTATTAAATTTCCCGATACGAAATCGCGACCCGGCTTCCGTGATAGATTATTCCAGTTTGGAGTAGCTCCTCCCATCCGGTAGTAAGCTTCGACAAACCTTTTCGCGATACGGGGAAAAGCAATATTTGTGTAACGTCTTGGAGGTTCATTTCTCACTGAGAAAAAATATCACGGTTATCCGAAGCTTCGATGATAGAAAAATATAGCCGAGCGAGTCCGCGATCCGTGGGGCACAAACGGGAAGTGTTCGTGTATATATAAGGTCTGTATTCTGTATGGATATTTATACGTTTGAAAAACAGAGCTGGAGAGGCGAAACCTAGTTTCTGTGTTTACCTCATTTTTAGGAGGACAGTTTTCCTGGACATTAAGGATCTAATTCGGTTCTCTTTGCAAATATGCAGTAAAACATGAAATACTTCTATTTAGAAATGGAATGAAGTTCCTAAGTGATTCTCAAATACTTTCTTTCGCTGCATTACTGATCATAAAAAATCTGTTAGTTTTATAAACAATAATATAAGGATTGTATACGCAACGAATTTGACGACTTCAGAAGAACTTGATTAGGCTATTTAAACAGTGAAGTTCAGATTATTATTGACCAACGCTACCGATGGTGAGGTAGAAGTTTTTGTAGCTTCAATAACAGCGGGAAATGTACTCGCGGTATAGTTTAATGAACAATAAGGCTGACTGGTTTATATAGGTAGTTTCTTTATGCGGGTGTAGCGCTACAATTTAATGTGGTATAAACCGTAACACAATTTAAACTAGAAGCCGCGTTTGAATGGAAAGATTAAACGTTCGATTACCATATTAACCCTCTGTCATTCCGTGAAGTAACATTCATTACAGTCCCCGCTAATTGCAGTATATTTCATTGCGACACCATATATGTATAATCTGTACAATTCAAACACCGTCCGATAAGTATGGGTACCTACTGCCCCACTATCGCATTAAATAACATGAGGAATTGTGGCAATCGCTCGCGTCATCGTATAACGCGGAACCCGTTTTAATTCCTTAAATGAATATAGTTAATACAATTGTAATTTATCTGGAAATTGATGTATGACCTCGTTTTATCAATATTATTCCTGCCAACGATATGCCACAGAGTGTTCCAAGCTTTGAAAATGAAGGATGAATAAAATTACAGAAATCCCTTTTACAGAGAAAATTTATTGACAGGTCTTGAACCAGAATCTCCTGGTTCCTCGAATCGGTTTCGCTCGATTGAACAGAGTTAGAAATGTGCAGCAACAGGAAGGTGATAATTAATTGGCTTACCGAGGATGTCCAGGCACCCGAGCTCGGATATCATCGGACTGGTGTTAATCTGACACATGTAACAATCCCTATCCGACTCCTTTAACTGACGAATGTGCAACCGCCACGTGCCGTTGACGACTTCCTCCGTGGCCTGGCTGCTTCCTGTCACCCCGAAGGCGTTACCGGACACCGCGCCGGACCCGGAACTTCCGCCGGTCTCGTACGAGACCGCGATACGTCCATTGTGCGTCACGGTCCTCGTGTGTACCGAGAGAATCGTCTGGTCCGAGGCACGTAGCCAGCCAACCTGCAAAATTCATTGCCATTTCCCTGCCCCCTCAACTCTCCTGCCAACTCGTTACCAGCTACACAAATTTCCATGCAGTTTCCAGGAACAACACCTAATTCATTTCTCACCAAGTGTCTAGCCGCAACGAACATCTGATTTCTTTTTCATGTATCATTTTCCTTAATCGTTCGAAATTATCATTCTTCCGATTAATAAGTCGTACGACTTAGATTTGAATGTGTATTTTTTTAAAGAATGTTCAGAGACAGAAGAATAAGTAAAATATACAGTGTAGATTTTTGAGATAATATACCCGAGGGAATTACGTACTTTCTTTCAATTAACTCTTCCTTCGATACGAAAATGTTAACTATTATCAAACAAGTAAAATTCTTAATGATAATAACTTGACGTAAATTCTCAGATTATAAAATCTTCTTCCGCGTACCAAAAGATTAATTTACGTATATTCAAGATTGAATATAGTAAAACGATATTAAGATAATAACTTGACAAGATTAAACTATAATTAAATTTTATTTTAATTGGCATTGAGCCAGAGACTTATTTTCGTACAGTCACTTATTAACGTAAAGCAGGGTACAGACATACGAATATAATCTCGAACTCTTTGATTTTACTGTACCAAAATTGAAAAGGGTAACTGTCAATGAATGATCGAATTAAGCGAGCGATTTTCCACGTATTTGCGAACAATATGAAAGTAAAACAACGTTCATAACTTCGGCCGGCATTTCCTGTTATAAAAGATCCTGGAAACTATTTGGATCTGACTGGAGGCCGAGCTTATCTTAATCCATCCCTGCCTGCCAAGCTGCCTTGAGTGGCTTTCTATAGACCGAATATTTCATCTAGCTGGATACTTTACGGGTGGAATCTGTCGCCGGAGAAAATGTGTCTCTACTCCTTGAATCTCACCTACTTCCAGACCATCCCTCCCTCCCTCCATCTCTCTCCGACACACAGGCGGACACACATTACTGCTCCTTTCTATAATACCGTCCTTCTCTTCACGCGTTCTCCCCTTTTTACTCGTTCATCCTCCTTCTTGGAATATATAGATCCCGATCGGAAAACTTATTACTAAATATAGCCGATGTTGGAGGCGGGACGGGGTCGGATTATGGGGTAGGAGAACTCTCGTGGCCGGGAAGAATTTTCCGCAAACACTCGCGCGCACACACACAGGCCCGCAACCTGGAATGCGGATGGAATCGGAATGCGTTTCTTCTTTTTCGGAGAACATGCGAGCGATTTAACGTCGGTTCAAACGCTTGTCCGTTTCACTTTTACGCGCTTCCGCGAGCACGTACACGTTCTATAAAGATTAAGCGTTCGTTGATGTAAGAGATAAGTACGGGAGATAAGAGATAAAAGAGAGGGAGAGACTCGCCTTCATATTTCAGGTTCATAGCTTTTTGAATTTTATATATTAGGTGATTTTTATCACGGAGTTACCTTGTACTTGCCAATGTTACGGACGCTGCAAGAGAAAGCAACCTCACGGCCAATTGCAGCTGTTTGATTCCCAACTGGAGCGATGAACACTGGCCCCGTGTTACTGTTTGAGTCTGTAACAGAACAACGATCATTTCAAACTAATGTTCAAGAGGAAACTTTGATTATTAAATTGCTGCAAATGAAATTTTTTAATTCCAACTAGATTTCTTGTTTTAAGAGAGTGAATAAGTACATCAAAGATACTGATGTAACACTTCAAACGTTTGAACATGTTCAATTTCTTCCATCTGCATCATTAGTATTATAATACAACGTTGAACGAGGATTGAAAAAAATGTTCGAGCTGGTGGAAACGTTGGGCATCGACACGTTCTGGTGTTTTCGCAACGGGGGAGAATATTTCACAAGCGCAAACGGGACAGGACGACATTACTCTTGTCTCGTACGCTTCGAGCCGAGATTTCTCCATCCGTATCTTCATTTCTATGTGTCTCCATCCGCCCACGCTTTCCACGTCTCAGCCATTTCTTTCGACCCCGAGCACGGGCTATGTTCTGTTGTGTTGTCTTTCAATCTCTTTTCCCCTTCTACAACGACCGTTGCTCCTTAGCAATCGGCTATCGAAGAATTTGGTCGTCTCCAGTTACTCGATATTTGATTGGAAAAATCTCGACCTTCCATTTTTAAGCAAGAGATGTTCGAAAAATAACTTCTTATATTTTATTTGATTCGCATTTCAGACTGGGCTCATACATTTTATAATGCAAATTGATTGATGTCTAAACAAACGTTGGAAGAATTCCTCTTTGCTAATTCGAAACGCTTTCGCAGGCCACTCTCGCGTGTTTGCGAAGCTGTACATTTCCAGTTCGAACTCAGCAAGGGAGACTGAGAGAGAGAGAGAATGTGTATGTATGTATGTGTATGTAGAGTTGCTTTGCATATATGCAAAGTTAACCACTTAAAGTTAATATTCCGGAATAAATTGTCAAACGATGGATGAACGGAAAATGTTGACGAATGACAAACAGAACCAATAGAAACGAATTTCGTAAGACTAAAGACTATCATCTTTTCAGTCTCATTCTATTGTTAGAATAAGATTGTTTCGTTATATCCTTGACAGTATTTTATTTATAATGTTGTAGCATTCAGGCTATCGACATCTGTGAAACAGTTTTGGAAGGTATTGTCGATCGTTTGTCAATCGAGTGGAGCGGAAATCGGGTGTTCTATTTCTTCTCTCATTAGTCATTACCACTTTTACTAATTCCTACCACATATACAGCTCCAGGAAAAGAATAATAAATTTATGAATCTAGTTTAATTAAGACAAATGATATTTCTATTCTCGTGGGAACGCGTTCGCGATATCTCTGTTAAGTCTACTTCAATACACATTCTTTGAAACTCTTTTAAATTGATAGCACTGAAGATTAATATTATACATTAATACTGTATTAAAGACAGGAATTAGTGGGCTGTCTTCTTCGAACATTTTTTATCGTAAAACGTGCATTCCAGTATATAATATAAAAGCCGAGACGATTTATACGACTTAAACGATAAATGAGAAGCGACAGGCATTTAGCAGCGGCGCTGGTTCAGCTAGAAATGTCCAAGCATTGGGACGATACGATGCATTCGTTTTTTCTTGCCGTTTCTTCCCAAGCCGGAATACCTTCTGTTTTCACAGGCGTTCTCATTTATGCGGCTTTCTAGCTACCGTGCCCGTGTTACTCTTTTTTCTACTTTCCCAACCAGTCTCTCTTCCCTTTCGCGGACGAGCACCACCTTTCACGTCTTATTTTTTTCACTCGCTGTTACCCTTTACACGGCGAACTACTACTCCCGACGTAACTAATATCTAAATTGCTTCCGCGGTTTTAAGTTTTGTCCCGACCGAACAATTCCCAAGATAATGGCTGCAGGAATTGTCTAACTGGATAAACATTGCCACTGTCGGAAATAATTGTCCAGGTTATTTTACATCATTTATTAGCCGCGATAATGAGCTTTTAATCAAGAGAAATCATTTAAATGAGAAACTTGAGTTTTCATTTAAAGCCAAGGACTATTATTACATAAAACGGGCCTCTTGTTGTATGGACATAAATAATCTATAATCAAAAGCTTCTAGCTAATGATAGCCGCACCTTATAATTTATAGTGAAATTATAAAAAAGAAAGAAGCGTGTAACCGTTGATAAGAGCGGTATAATATTTCGAAACGAGTTCGATTAATTCCCAGCGTAGAAACGATCGATTCTTTTTATCTCGTTAGCCAGTGCACGCTACCCTTCGCGATGTATCGCACGCAACCCTCGCAGCAACATTAATTCCTTCGGCCAAGTTCCACGGATATTTTCAGCAAGAAACGACACAGAGTTCTTCTAGGGTGAGAATGATCGAAAGGAGAAAATTGCGAGATGTCGAGGATGATTGATTATTTTTCCCCCCCAGCTTCATCCAGAATCCAGAAGAAGAAAACTCAGAAGGAAGTGGCAGAAGGTGTATTATTATTAGATAGTGTGGATTTTTATGTAAAATAAAAAATTTTACGGAATGACGATAAGAATTCGTTTTATTTTTTAGAAATAATAATAGACATTTCGATTTCGATTTTACGATCGTAATATTTTTTACGTTTCGTACGGATAAAATTTTCCTGCAAATATATTCTGTATAATTATTATTCGAGCTGTTGAAATTCGTCGAAGAAACTGTCTCGCTGGATAAATATGTACGTCTAAAATAATAACGAGACAGCAGCGTCTTCCCAACGGAATGGGAGGACGCAGCGTAATATCTATTTTTCGAGAGTGACTGAAGTTAATTGCAATATCATTACGAAAATCGACGACGTGTAAACGCCTGTCCCAGTTTCCGTTTGACACGAACACCCCGTACAATGTCTCCGGCACATTTGACCGAGTTCATGCGAGCAGAGGATAAACCAGTGAGAAAGAAAGAAGCCGGCTTCAATTACACAGATTACCTCCGCTTCGACTTTTTTCATATTATATAATTATATTGTTTATATTGAAATTGCACATAAAACTGAAAAATTTCCAAGTCTCAAACGTCTATACATAAAACATTCTTGTTATACTCTTCATACCATCTTCAGAACTCGCAGAACCTCCTAATTTTAGACATTTTTTAATTGACAACAATGTTATTATACATACAATACAATAATTGACAACAATAAGACAGCTTGGTTGCTGCGTGTTGGAATTGTCAAGACCTGAACGTGACATAATTTAAATTAGATGCCATGGCTTTAATTTAGATGTGATTATGATGAAACATTTACAATTACATAGATAACACGTTTCTAACTGTATCGGATATTAACCGCGAATCGATTAATTGGACGCGCGGTAATCCTCGATGAAAACTATCGCGAGCGTGAATCGCTCGTTGACTCCGGGTGCTCGAAACGGGCGATCGGAGATCGCATCACCACGGCCATTACGATTAGCGGCGATGATATCTGCGGTACAAGAGGCGGACTCATTTTTCACGAGTGGCGGAAAAAAAGCGACGACGTCGTTCTTAATCATCGAAACGATCCCCTGGTACAACGCATCTGTCTCTCTCTTTTATTTTGTAAAACGCGGGCCGTGGGACGAGAAGGGTGAACGAATACGATGGCTGGTGACTAAAAAAGAAGAAAGCATCGGGACAAGCTGCCAGAAGGGAAGGAGAGGAAAGGATCAGCTCGGTGGGGCAGAAGGAAATCCCCTTTCGGGAATTCCTTGTTCCCGACCTCAATCGATTTTTTCCCTCGCGCGAGCTTACGACGAGGGGAGTCGTACTTGCCTCCCCACACATCTTTCTGCTCGAAATGAAATCGAATCTAAAAATTGGAATATAACACTCCGCCCTATCCTCCTACTATTCCTGCCTTCATGCCTGGCGTTCAAATACCCAACGTTAAACCATTTACACTCCGACTTTTATTTACGTTCCTGTAGAATAATACTTTTATATGGTGTGTAAAATAATACTCGTTTATCCATCAGAATAAGAATTCACTTTCCGTCTTTTCGTTATTTATATTAATACGATGAAAGTGTTTGAACTCTTAATGACAGGCGATAGCAGAAACGAATAATGGATGAACGTAATGAAATTTGAGAAATAGCATTAAGCGAGTATCAACGTTTCGACTCGCCTGTTCGGGGCACCGCAAAGTAAAAAGTAACGTCAAAAACATAAAACATTCTTGTTATACTCTTCATACCATCTTCAGAACTCGCAGAACCTCCTAATTTTAGACATTTTTTAATTGACAACAATGTTATTATACATACAATACAATAATTGACAACAATAAGACAGCTTGGTTGCTGCGTGTTGGAATTGTCAAGACCTGAACGTGACATAATTTAAATTAGATGCCATGGCTTTAATTTAGATGTGATTATGATGAAACATTTACAATTACATAGATAACACGTTTCTAACTGTATCGGATATTAACCGCGAATCGATTAATTGGACGCGCGGTAATCCTCGATGAAAACTATCGCGAGCGTGAATCGCTCGTTGACTCCGGGTGCTCGAAACGGGCGATCGGAGATCGCATCACCACGGCCATTACGATTAGCGGCGATGATATCTGCGGTACAAGAGGCGGACTCATTTTTCACGAGTGGCGGAAAAAAAGCGACGACGTCGTTCTTAATCATCGAAACGATCCCCTGGTACAACGCATCTGTCTCTCTCTTTTATTTTGTAAAACGCGGGCCGTGGGACGAGAAGGGTGAACGAATACGATGGCTGGTGACTAAAAAAGAAGAAAGCATCGGGACAAGCTGCCAGAAGGGAAGGAGAGGAAAGGATCAGCTCGGTGGGGCAGAAGGAAATCCCCTTTCGGGAATTCCTTGTTCCCGACCTCAATCGATTTTTTCCCTCGCGCGAGCTTACGACGAGGGGAGTCGTACTTGCCTCCCCACACATCTTTCTGCTCGAAATGAAATCGAATCTAAAAATTGGAATATAACACTCCGCCCTATCCTCCTACTATTCCTGCCTTCATGCCTGGCGTTCAAATACCCAACGTTAAACCATTTACACTCCGACTTTTATTTACGTTCCT